TGAAAACTGTTCATTCAGATCATTGGTCTCCCTCTCTTTTTAACTTTGCAAGAGGGTGTGACACTTACGGAGAGAGACTGGAGAAGAAGGAGAGAGAGAGAGAGGAAGAGCCAGAAAGAACCCCAGTGGGATATGGCCATACTACAATCCTTTTTGGGTTTGGGGCATGCACACATACACACCCAGCATGTTTTTGAAGCTGCCAGGTCCAAGACTCGAACTGCATGGTCGCCTATGTGGGATCCAGCCATCTTAACCACCAGGCCATAGGTTGGTCCTAACCCATTTTTAAATAAAGTTATTTGTTTTTTTGCACAAAATCGTTTGTGCCATTCATATATTCTGGTATATATTATTCATATATCCCTTTTGTCAGATGGATAGCATGCAAATATTTTCTCCTATTCTGTGAGTTATCTCTTCACTTTATTGATTGTTTCTTTTCCTGTCACTTTATCGATTATTTCTTTTCCTGTGTAGGAGCTTTTTTGTTTTGTTTGCTATAATCCCATTTGTCTATTTTTGCTTTGTTGCCAATAGCAGAGTCTTTTTCCTTTTTTTTTTTTCCAATGAGGCATTTTATTTGTATGTGTGTATTATATCCCTAGAGAAAAAAATCCCAGGATTTTCCCTCCTGTATGTTTCCATCTTCCTTCTTCATGGTCCATGATGCCAGCTGAGGTCGTCAGTACAAGGAAACCAAACTGATGGGAGGGGAGCAGATTATCCTGGCACTTCTAGATCTTTCAGTTGTGCATCAAATCTGGGGCTGATTACTCCACACTTGTTTTACCTGCCGGTGAAGTTCACAACAATTTTTCCAGCTCTATGGTCATCAATGATTTCAAATTTGCCAGTGTAACAACCATGCTTCGTCATCACAGTTAGAAAACGGTCAATGACTTTGGAGCACAGCCTAATAGGAACCTGGCATTTGCCTCTCTTTCTAGCATTATTGATGTTCTTGAGAGCATCAGCCAGGATATACATGTGCACCATTATAGCGGCACAGAAAGATGGTAGAAAGAGGATGGAAGGGTTGAGTGCATGGAGTTATGGGAAGTGGCCTGGCTATTCGAGACTTTCAAAGGCAGGGCAAAAAACGCCCAGCAGGGCCTTTTCCTACTACAGGAATCTAGCATGCTCTCTTGGAATCAGTCTAGCTTCTCAGACATACTAGAGAATCTCTTTTTAAATTTGGACAAGATCCTATCCCAAATCAGATCAAGAGTTCAGGCCCCCAAGAAGCAGTATACTCAGTTCATCCCTACCCCACAACTTGTCAGTATCTTTGCTCAGCTAGAAGTTTGAGGCCCTAGCCCATCTAACTGGAAAGTCTATAGAGTTGGAAACATGGGTTCATGGGTTCCTCCATCCCACCATCATGGATAGCTGAGAATTACCTCTGTCTTTTGCCAAGATCCTTGTTCATTTTGTTACCTGTAAGACCCGTTGGTTATGTGAAGGGGACCTAGCCCCACTGACTTGGCTGGGCCACATGGGGTCAGGGCTTTCTGAGATAAAACACTCTCCATCCAGGGATCAAGAGGCAGGACTTTGTTTTGTCTTGTTTTGGTTTTGCTTTGCTTTTTGTTTTGAGAGAGAGAGAGAGAGAACCCCTAACAGGGCCATCCTGCCAATATCCTTCTCTAGTCTCAATTGCCATACCCAAGGATGTCCCAGGAGGTGAACCTTTTTTCATGTGGGTCCACTTGTAATGCAACTATACCACCACCTGGCCCTAGGACTTATTTTCAGTTAGTTACTAAATTAATTATGAAAACACATATTCACATTAAAAATGCTAAAAATACAGGGCAAGCCAATGGCATAGTGGTTAAGGGAGTTAGATCCCAAATGATCAACTGTAGTTTGAACTGGACCTGGCATCTTGAAAACTCACTGGGAAGTGTGTACATGCATGCCCAAAATCTCAAAAGGAGTCTGGAGGAGAAAGGACTGTGGCATAGCCAACCTTCTAGGGGTTTCTCTCTCTCTCTCTTTTTTCTCCCTCGACCACATGTGCCCTATAGCAAAAACTTAAAAAACTAAAAAAAAAAAAAAAAAAATGGCGAAAATAGTATTACACAATGATCATGAGCATATCACATGTCTGTGTATTTCCTTTTGATCTTTCACTCTGTGAAACATTTTCCTCTTTTTTTTTTTTTCCTTTTTTTGGAGAGGTTTTTTTGTTTTGTTTTGTTTTGTTTTGCTATAGGGCACGTGCACTCACCAGAAAGAGAGACAGAGAAACAGAAAGTGAGAAATCACCCCCCAGAGGGGATGGCCACGCTGCAATCCCTTCTCCTCCATTCTCCTCTCAGGATCTTGGGCATGCACACACACACGCCTGGCGTGAATTTAAGCTGCCAGGTCCGGTACTTGAACTGCGGTTGACAACATGGGAGTTCAGCAACATAGCCGTTATGCTAACTGCTGGTCCCAACATTTTCTAAATCATAACTGGAATTGTATTGTATACCCTGTGGTATGCTGGTGTAGGGGCAGAATGGTCTATGATACATTTCCTCACCCATCATAAGGGTCATGGTTAACACTCCTTTAACAAAAGGGAAGTTAACAAGAGAATAGCATAACACATTTATTTAACCAAATATTTATATGACATGGGGTTCTTCAGAAATGAGGACCTAAAGATGCAGGGAAAACTGCCTAATGTTATGCTTACGTTTGATGAAGAATGGATAACCACGTAGAAACGTGACTGGACAAAAGGGCATGATCTAATGGTAACAGACCATGGAGGGAATCCAGTAAAGCCTATCCACTGTGTGGCATTCTTTCCTCCTGGGTATAGGGCAGACCCTCTGGAATGAGGGCTTATGACCTACTATCAGAAAGAATAGGTCAGAGGTTCAAAGGCAAAAAAAAACGCCTGAAGTTGGTGCCATGAGCAAAGCTCACCCTCCCGAATTGAAAAAATTTATGGACAAGAAGTTATCATTAAAATTAAATGGTGGCAGACAAGTCCAAGGAATATTGCGGGGACTTGATCCATTTATGAATCTTGTGATAGATGAATGTGTGGAGATGGCAACTCGTGGGCAACAGAACAACATTGGAATGGTGGTAAGACGAGGAAATAGTATCGTCATGTTAGAAGCCTTGGAATAAATAATGGCTGTTCAACAGAAAAACCCTTGTCCCCTTGTCAACAGGCCTGTTTTTACTATGATGTAAAAATCAGGTCATGTACATTTCCATAATAAACTTTTTGTTAAGAAAAAAAAAAAAAAAAAGAAAGAAAGAATAGGTCAGAGAATGTCTTTATGGCCGGTTCCTACACAGACAAGCAGAAGAAAGGTTAGAGAATTATTTCTAGGTTTTATGGCTGGTTTGGGGGGAGAGGGGCTCTAGTTTCTATTACCTATCTTGGAGAAAAGGAATTTTAGTTTCTGTGACCTGCCTTGGAAAGAGAGGAGCTGGAGAAAGGAGGGTAGGAGAAGGTAAGAAAGATCTTGTCTCTGAGGCCTTCCAGTCTCCTTTATTAGTTCTAAGTACTTAGCATGTCAGAGTGCAACACTTTGGAGTATTGTTTTCTGAGCCCTAACATTGGAAAAACACCTGTCTTGAGGAAAAAAAAAAAAATCACTATTTGTAACATCTGCCAATTCCTCTGGTGTAAATAATCCAGTGTGTTGATTTCGATCTATAGCATAATCAAACCCAGAGCTGGGAAGAACTGCACAGAATTGATTCTCATCGATGGTTTGAGCCAACTCTAGCACATCATATTGTAACTTAAAATTATATCTTTTTTTTTTTCCTGATCTTAAAACCAATGCTTACTTATCTTTGAGAACTCACAGAACACAAAGAAAAGAATTAAAATTATCCAGAGTCCAGCCTTCCTTCCCTTAGAGTCAGACACTGTCATCATCTTGGCACCTGTCCTAACAGTCCCCTTACTATAGATAGAGACATGTACAAAATAATTTTTCTAGAGAGTTCAAAAGCAGTGCATATTGTATGGCAGAAAATTTGGGATACACGGGAAGTCTCTGATATTGCATCCTTTAGACATCATTTTGGCTGTTGTTTTTCCAGCCATTTTTTCTCTGCATCTTTTAAATGTGCTTGGACTTGTAATTAGAATATCCTAACTTTTAGGCACAGTACAGGCATATTCTCCTGTCCTGGAGGAACTTGACCCAGAGGAAGGACATTATCCCACTGTTATATTATTAAAAACCCTACTGACGCTTAGATAGGTGAAAAATAGGCCCAGCCATGGTGATGTGCACTGCTAAGATACTGTGCTCCATGGGCTAGGACCACATGGGAGGACTAAGTTCAGTTCCGGGTCTAACCTAAAGGCCTGGTGCAGCCTGTATTCCCAGCTGGAAGGGAGAAGAATTATGACAACAATACCCTGTGGGTTTTATTTTTTTTTTTTAAGGCAATAATATTCCTGTTCCCTGATATTGAAAATTATTGTAAGGATGAAGCTCAAACTATTTGAAGTTCTTGGGGCCCCTGCTTTTGTGCCCTGGGATCCTTGAATAATTCCAGATAATCGGCCCTTGCTCCATCTGCTCTCCCATCTGATATGTGAGAATGGAAGTGCCTTTAGGGAGAGGAATAGCAAGGTAGATCTCTTGCTTAGCCCAAAAACAAGTTCATTCATTTGTTCACATAACTGGCATTTTCTGAGCAGCCACTCGGTGACAGGTACCTGGCTAGGCACCGGGGTGCAAGTATGGAGGAGAAGTGGTGCCCGTTTCCTAGGCTAACCGAGAGCCAAATGGGGTACCCACAGCCCAGAGTACCAGGAGTGAGAACTGGAACATTCCATGAGATAATCCAGGTATCCACTGGGAAAGGCATCCCAGGTAGAGGTAGAGGCACCTGCAGGGGCAAGGCCCCAGCAGTGAGTCTGCAGCGAGCCTTCCCTGGGCCTGGCCTTTCTCCCATAGCCTCTTCCAGATCCCACACCCTGCAGACCCACAGGCTGGTTTTTCTGGTTTGTTCTCCAGGGCAATTTGCATATTTCTGTGAAGAACCACCAGGAAGCTGAACAGCCTGCTTCAGACTTAGAGAAAGCAGAGGTCCAGGGTTGCTCCCTGAAATCTGGGTAAGTGTTATTTAAAGGTTTCTTTTCTTCAGAACTTTTGTCATCATTTGAAATTGTTCTGTTTCTGAGTTTACATATTTCTTGTCTGTGTCCCTCAGTGGCATATACCGGCTTGTCTGTCTCTGTCACCCCTGTAAAAGGGACTGATGCATGGGTCATCCAACTGGTTAAGAGCTGAACATTTATACAGCTCTTAGACAACTTACTTAGACCTTAATAAAGGGTGTTTAAAATTCTATAGAGATGGCCCACTGCTTCTTTTAACTTTTTATTTTGAAATAATTATAGACTCACAGAAGTTGCAAATATAGTACAGAGAGGCCCCACGCACCCTTCCTCAGCTCCGGCCTGGCTGGTACCTTGCAATTAAATCTCAGAACCTTAGCCAGACGACCCTGGCGCTACATGGTGCAGCCCTTGGCAGCTTCCCTTCCAGCCTCATCTCCTCCCTGCCCTCTCGCCATGCCCACCCGTTGTCCAGGCTCTAGCAGTGCCCATCATCCTATTTGTTCTTCAGAAGCATCTTCTTTTCTCCTCCTCTGGGTCTTGACACGTGCTGTTCCCTCTGCCCAGAACATGCCCATCTTACCCACCCCCTCCCTGTCT